GTTATAGCAAGCAATGACGTCCATTTACCATAGGCGGGTTTTCCATTCTATTACAAGAGATGGTTTATTATAATATAGATCTTTTAATGTTCAACATTTGAGTAGATTTTCCCATGTCTAAGATTATTTATTGATTCTACATTGTATAGAGAAAAAATGCAGCCGTGTGATTTTTTACTCTTTATGATATTTTGCAGACATTTTCTGTGTTCAAAAATGTCAATAGATTTAATGAAAAACATATCTAGAGATTTGGGCTCGCCAGATCGGACTTGATTCAGAGGTCCCGGGTTCGAAACCCACTTTGAGCAGCTTGTTTTCAGGCATCAGTGACAACGATTTTCACTTGGAAATATAAATAGCAATATGTTTCCAAGTGAAAATAGCCCTTATATGACATTGCTGCACCAATAAAAAGTCAGCCCTATTAGATAAGTTCTAATAATTAAATTATCAAATATGGATGGATTAACCGTTGGGTTACCATCTAAAAATAGGAAGTAAGGAGAAGTTTCAGTCCAAAAAATATCTAGAGATTTGTAAATATTATGGTGCAAATAAACTAGGTGTAAGTAGACATTTGTCTTAAGGCAAGTTGCATGAACCTCCTGAAATTTGCAAATAACTGACTTCATCGGTAAAACTAGTTAGTAGAAAAAACTTGCAACTGTCCATTTTTCCAAAATAATGCTTTTGCATCTCTCTAAAAACTAATCGATTTTCAATTGATCTTTCAAACACACTTACAATCTATAATTTTTTTAATTCAATTTATCACATTATAATACATAAATTATCACTTTTCTATAATCTCTATACTTGATTTGAAGTGAATATAAAACGAGTATCATTGTTACGAGCACTTTTCATAAGTAGCTCACATACACACATCAATTTTCTAATTTTGGTGTCAAACCATTCAGAATGACGTAAAACGTTGAGAAAATAAAATATTGAAGTAGGTGGTCTTCTTATTCGGGAAGTTAAAAACAATTGTAATCTGCACAATTTTGTTCAAAAATTCGCCAATTTAATTTAATCCATTAGAATTATGGATTTATAAGAGTTTATTGCTTCATTAATTGATAATATACCGTTATAAAATTATCAAAGATAATGTTTTATAACTACTTCAAAGTTATTACAACTTCTTATAATAAGGCTGCGCGTTTTATGAGTTAAAATAATTGACAATTAATGTTTCATGCAATTCTTGTCTTGGAGATATTATAGCTGCAAATTAATTTAATTAGTTCAAGATCTTTGATATAAGATAGAATATGAATGTTTTTTCTTGTTGTTTATAAATCGTTAACATCGTTTAAAATATGCAACAATTAACATATGGTTATATGATTAAAAAAATTTAAACAGCGAGAATATTAAGGAATTTTAGGTTTTTAAATATGTTTTCATTAGTGGATTTTAAGGACACGATATTATTTCTTGCTACCCTTATTATAAATTAGTCATATTTTATTCCATATAATTAAGTTTTTTGCACAAAGCTTATTATTTATATAATTTATATAATTGGAGCTTTTGTATTTCCGCCGGATGGTATGTCTACATTCTGTTCTTGTTTCCTCAAACTTGTTTTTCTCTGAAATTTTGAAGTACTACCACCCATATGAGATCATGTTTCAATGTATGTATTTCTTAGTTCTTTTATTTATTCGTCTTCACTAATTTGTCTCAATTACTATGTTAAATTAAATTCAAATATTCTAAATACCACCGAATTATGTGTATGGACAATTCATCTTCTTTATCGTGTATGTAGTTGGTTTTTACATCTCATATGTTTAAATAATAATCCGTTCTTGACCTTGCATGCCAAAATCTTGCCCATTATTATTCCGCCGGAACAGACAGGAATATTAGTTATGCAATATCTTTTGGAAGAAAAATGCTAATATATTTTGGAGTTAATTAAACGATTTAAATAATGCACGTGGATTGACAAGAAATTAGACCAGTTAGACCTTTTTCGAATGCAGTATACCATAATTAGTTTTTTTTTTGGACTACTGCTTTACACCAGGTACTCTTAGGTGGGTGAATCTAAACTCATTAAGTTTAGGAGTTATGGAATAATTTAAAAATTTTAAGATATATTTTATAACTGTTTCAGTTTTTAACATATTCTAAAATATCTTGCTTAACTTTAAATATATTTTTATTAGTTTTTTTTTGGACTACTGCTTTACACCATGTAGTCCTAGGTGGGTGAATCTAGACTCTAGACACAATTATTAAAATTTTAATATCTTGAAAGTATCTGATTCAATTAGAATTTTGTAGCACATTTTTAATTAATAAAGGATTGAACGTATGATATAATAATCATTGAAAAAGCCACTAATTAATACTTTATCAACTGTTGTGAGACTTACAATGGGATGTGCACAATGCTCATTGTTACATTGTTTAACGTCAATCATGGTTTTTATATATAATTAATATATTTTTTTATTAACATCAACACGTAAGCAAGAATAATGATTACACATGTGTGAATAAGATAATGGTGATCATTACTCCTGATCTTGAAGTTTCTATTTGGGAGGTCCAAAATCGATGCAAGTAGTATTATATAATACAATAAATCCGCTATTATTAGTTCAGCCTAAAGTTATTTTCAGTATATGTTAACAATCAATAAAATATATTCGTATTTGGAATAGAAATCGCTAAAGAGTTGTTTTGCATGGGAATTGGCAGTCTTTTGTACTACGACGAAAACAATACGCTGATATATTCTCTAGCTATTTGTTAGAACATGCTACACCTTTTAGGAGAGGACATATTTATATATATATATATATATATATATATATATATATATATATTAGTTAATTGCAGCCAATTCGTCGAAAATAAATAGAAAGCAATAAAAATTCAACAGAATTTATTCTGAACATTTCGATACACATCATTCAGCATTTGGCTTGTGTATAAGAGAGTGAAATATAAAAATCGGCGGGCAATATGAAGATTATTAATATAATTTATTAATATGTTAATTATAGAATTACTGTAATTTAATCTTCATAAGATTATGTTACTAAAAAGTATTAATCGAGAATAGAGTATCGACTCGCGATTAAAAATCTACTGTTCACCGGTTACAAAAATAATTAATTTATAAGAATTATATAAAATGAATTGCAAAGTTGAAATTATTTGTTGTAGTGTATTAGAACTTTAGTCAGAATTAAAATGAATTGAATTATTTTCAATTTTTAATATACGAAAAAAAAAGATTTTCTTGATTAAATTTTTTTTTTTTCAGAAGCAATTATTTTGTTGAAACAAGCAGAAAGTTCTTTGCATCATTTAAATCTGACGCTTAATTCTCTCAAAAACTGTCGTTTTTTGCACATTTAGCTCTGTATCTTAAAGGCTGGATCTGCTTTTGCCAAAAACTAATCACTTCTTCTCCCAATCTTTACAAATTGATTGTTTTTTAGATCATTCAAATCGGATACTGCGTTCTATCAAAAACTCGATTTGTATTTTCTGCACTCTTTGCTCTGTATCCTCGAACGGCTAGACCTGCCTTCGCTAAAAACTAATCAGCACGTCTCCTTATCAATACGAATCAAATGTTTTTTGAATTTTTCAAATCGGTTGATCCGTGTTTCCGAAATCGTCGACGAAAATTTATATCCGCACACACACACATACAGCCATTTTTTTCTAAGGTATGTCAAAATGTTCAGAAATCTTTGAAACGTAAACATATATAAAAAAAATTTCATTTTCGATTCTTTTGCGAATACTATAACTTGCCCCACGGTAAGTTAAAAAA